TGTAATCGAGTTAAGCAAATGTGTTTTCACAATTTTTTAGCGTGAGATCTAGAGCTTTTTGGATTTCTGCCGGCATGTCAGTGAGGCCATCGAATCTCGTCTGAAATTGATATCATCCTGTCGCTTTGCCCCCTATCAGACTGAAGTTGCATTGGTCTCTCGTCCCTTTGTCCAATGGGATTTGCGAATATGCGTAGCGTAGATCGAGATTTGTGACGATGGTTTGTTGGAGTCATCTCCCTTTATAATTTGTGAAGTTTTGTCTAAAAAGAGTTCAAAATTGGGCATTTGGTATTTGTTTTTGTGTATGAGTTTATTGATTTTTTCGGAGTCTAGCGCAGGTGTGACCGTTTGGCCCTTCTTTTACCGTTGTAACGATCGGGCTGACAAACTGTTTATCAGATTATTTGTCTAGTTTCTTGTTATGTTTCTGATCAATTAGTTCATTTATTCCCGCTTCCACTATCTCCTGTACATGGATGGAAATCCTTCAATCTTTTTGCTGGATCTGAGTAATCTTTTGTAGACATTAGGTTTGCATTACGTGGCGTTTTGATTACCAGATACTCACGCAGAGCTTCTGACGGTTTTCTTGAACCCAGGTTTTTCTTACATCGTCCGACCTTTCTTCTTTTTCTTCAAAATTGAGAAAACTGTTGTATGCTGGCTTGTCTTGTACAAGTTTGATACCTATTTTTGGTAGAATATTTCGCCCGATAATTTTTTCCTTTTAATCGTCTACGGGGAGAAATGGAGACGATTGAATTTTCCATCCTCCGCATTCAACTGGAATGATAAGTCGTCCGTTTTGAACAATGTATTTCCCATTATAACAAGCGAAGTTTCGGGCTGCATCCTCCGGTGGAATTAACTTAAGTATTGCGGACCGGTCGTTTTTCCGCAGTCTTTCAGCCCTTTTTTTTATAAGAAAAGACATGGGATTTCCAAAGTATGCGGAGGCAAAGAGTTTGACTTTGCCACCGCAGACTGTGTCTTTCCGGACTGTGTTTTTACTTTGACTAAATTTCCATTGATATCTTCTTCTTTTATGTTTTCTGAGTTTCTGATTTGAAATGCTTCTGAAATTTCCACCACCGTAAAATTGTCCCGCGGAATTTCTTCCCAACCTTTTTCCGACATCAATTCGGCGCAAGCCACTGGGTTGTTATTAACTTCTGCGGCGAATGAATTTTTTTCTTCGTTGTTTTGTTGGCTTGCCAATTCTTGCATCTATTGATTCTTTGTTGACCTACTTCTGCCAAACGACCTCTTTTTGCGCATTTAGTACAGATTTTGTCTTTTGCTGGGCATGAAGTCAAATTGTTTGGTTCAAATTCTGCCACAATTATAGCCTGTTTTATTTTTGTTTGTTTGTTGATTTTTTTGCCCCCGTGGTTGTACGCTGCGCGGGGTCGACCTCGTAATTTCCTCGACTTCTTTGTTTGTTTTGATACAAATTTTGATAAACACCTCTCCCGCATGGTTGAATGTAGCCCATCGGCTCCTGTTTCGTTGATATGTTTGAGGTGATTCCGCTCCAAATGGATTTGTTTTCATCGTTTTACGATGTTCTATACCTTTTTCCCTCCTGATTGCATTTTCGTACGCGTCTTGTGGTAATTTGGTTTCTGCCAACAGCTCTTCTGCAATCTTGTCGTAGGACATGTAAGCCATGAACATATTCCCAACCCATTCATCTTCTCGATCCCCAAAATCTGCCCGAGAAGCCAATTCGACTAAATACCTATGGAAAAGTTCCAACGTTTCATTTTATCGCTATTTCCGACAAATAAAATTGTACCTTTCGAAAGCTGTGATTCGCGTGATTACGAATATGTTTTCTAATATTTTCGTCTCAGTTATTTTGTAGCTGTTGTTTGAATTTTCAGGTTTGGTCTCTTTTGTTGTAGTTGTCTTTCTACTTCTGATCCAAGACAATGAATTATATAGCTTCGAACTTGGGCGTCTGCGTCATCCCATGATATAATACTACAACGTACGCCTTTTTTAATTACATTTTTTTAACGATTTTTTTAACGTAAGTTTCCCAAATGACTCGTTTTCTTGTATTCTGATGTCTCTATTTCTTTTTTCTGCTTCTGTTTACCCAGTGATCTCAACCTCATAGATCGGTTCTGCTGGTTCTTGCAGGGAGCTTTCGCTCATAACAAATTTGTTACCTCTCTCCCATCCCTGGCGAAAACTGCCATCTTCATCATCGCTGCCCACTTTGACCATTCCAGCGGTGGTTTTAAAGATGCCTTCTGCAGAAAGGTGGAACATTCAGCGGATTTTGTATCCTGCTGACTGCGCCATGTCATACTGTAAAGTATGAGCTCTTTATAGAATCCAAACGGATTGGCTAAATATCTGTAAGCGAGTTTAGTTGAGAGGAAAAGCTGAACATAAATCTGAATTTATTTTCTTCTGAACATTGACGTTCAACTTTTAGGTCTTGCTTATCGACGGTCAGGCCATCAATCTAGTTTATAGTAAGATAACAAGTAATAGAATTAGAGTATAAATAAAAAAATACTTCATAGTGGATCATGCCAATGCAGCTGGATGTCAAGTTTCCGGCATAAAAAGGGTCTTTCTTTTGCAATTGATCGAAGTTTTGGCCCTCTTTACCGATATTGGCAAATTTTTGACCTTGTACTTGACCTAAAGCTACATATCGACTCTTGATTTTGAGTAACCAAATTGCACCTTTAAATAGTTTAAAAGTCGGAGAAAAAATAACTCGAGCAACCAAGTTTGAGCAATTTAACTTTCCTCTCTCAGGTATTTGACTGCTAACACGTTTTTGATTTATCTTGGAGAGTCGTATCTGAGAAGAAGAAGACCGCATTGTTCTCTAAAGCCCTAACATGATTGAAGTTTCATTGATGACAAATATGTGCAAAAATCTCTTATCAGGAATAAAATTACAGAGCAAATCACTCGGTTCGACAAAAAACGCTAGCCATAAAATTTGTAATTTGTGTTTGCAAATTGCAGCATGTTTTACTTTTGACAGAAGCTAAATATATCTTTTATATGGAAACAAAAAAGAAAAAATTGGCATCACACAAATCAGACTGTGCCTGCATTTCGTTATAAAAAAAATTGAGTGCAAAAGATTTTTTTTTTCAAAATTTGATTGAACCTAGAAAATTTTTTGCTGCTCAAGAATAACTATATTTTTTTTGTTTTTATGGAAAACACAATTTTCTATTATGACAATTTTGATCATCATTTTTTTCTGGATTTTTTTTGTCTCCAAAATCGGTTTTAAGACCATTGCATTAAGGGTATCAGTTTTGAACATCTTCGGATTTGCTTTACATTTTTTTGATGATGTAGAAGAAAAAGCATTTTTTTGAAAAATGAGCTAGTCATACAGTTTTCTTAGTATGACATTGTATAACTAGCACAGTTTCATTTTTCCCATTTGTGAAATTGCATGACAAGCATTTTGTTTGTCTGGAGGTCAACACGGGCAGTAATAATTTAGCGTTTTTACAGCGTTATTGATACATTCAGAACTGTATCATAGATCATAGATTGACAATAATGAGCCATCTCTGTTAATAGATTCAAGCACTGCTTCCCGGGTTGACCAAAAATGCTAGACATACAATTTCCATATATGGAAAAATGCTAGTCATACACTTTCCATACAACTTCATACGTACAGAAAATTGCATGAAAGGTCTATGATTAGTATTTTTCATATATGAAAATTGTATGACTAGCATTTTTTCATATTTGGAAATTGTATGACTAGCATTTTTTCATATGTGGAAGTTGTATGACCAGCATTTTTTTCATACTTTTTTTTGTGAAGAGATACCAATTTCGATACAAAACAACAATAAATACCTTTAAAATTTGATTAAACTCATGTTTCAAAAATGTATGAAATTTGTATGACTAGCATTTTTCCATAGATTAAGTGTATGAAATTGTATGATTAGCATTTGTGGTCGATGGAGGTCAAACCGGGTTAGAATCCAAGAAATGATTTAAGACTTTTTTCCTCTATCAATAGTAACCTCTTCAGTCAAAAATTTATTGCGAATTTTTCTTTCTGGGTCTGGGACAGTTTGAATCACAGAAAAATAGATTTACATTGAATTCATCAAAAGCACGCTCTACACAAATAAAAGCGATTTAAACTAACAATTAAAAAAATCGTTTTTTTTCAGGTCAACTCAAAAAAAAATTCCGTACTCGTTTTAGAAACAATTTGTATTGATCTTACTCCTAGTTTATACTATTTTTTTTGTTTTAAGACAGAGATTTTGGGAGTGTGATCTAGCAAGATCTTGCAATAAAGAGGTTATCTTGCAAGATTCATGGAATATTCTTACAAGATAGCTTCTATATTGCAAGATCTTGCAGGATAACCCTTATTTGCAAGAATCTTGCAAGATCTTGCGAGATAACCTCCCTTGATCGACCAGCGTGGTTGTCGACCGTGTTTCAGACGAAAGTTCATGTGATTTGGTGTGGTTTTGTTACGCTTATAACACAGATTAGGAATGTGCTGACAGTTTTTGCATTAATTTGTCTTGAGGTTTGAGCAAAATATCAGAGCATTATTGGTTGGTTTCGAAGATCAAAGTACAAGTTTGGGGTTGCTAAGAATTATTTTGTGAAATAACTGCAATGATAAATTTGGAGCTAAGCAGGTAAACTATGGTGCGACTATACTTGTTGCAATCAACAAATATGAACTAACCCTAATTTGTTCAGTTATGGTCTGACGAATCAATCAAAATTTGTCTTGTTTAATTTTGAATTAGGCACGCCTACTTTGACCTGGGCAAAAATTTTGTCGCTTGAAAGGTTTATTTTTGGCAGTTGAGTATTTCTTCATCGTTTAGCAATACCCAAAATGACAGTAAGAATTTTGTACTTAACAGTCAAGTTTTGCAAAACATTATCAGGTCAGAAGGTGTACTCAAAAGCCAACCAGAACCTTGCACTTAAACAAACCATCATGTGCGTAACTTTATTTAACCGGTCTATCATGTACCATCATTAATCACCTCGTACGTTTTATTTATAACTTGGTGGTATGAAAGTTCTTTGTAGTAAAAACAGAGCATTGTTTGGCGATGATATCTGTGGTGCTGCGTTCTCTTTTATAAGCAGCAACAAGCCAGAAAGCTCTCATTTATCAGCAACTAGTCCAGAGTTTATAATTTATCAGCAACAAGTCAACTAGTTCTCATATAAACCAGAAAACTGTCCAGAAAACTCGCATATCATTTTTCATTCAATTGCTAACCTGCAAGTCGCATACTTCGAACGTGCAAGTTTTGTAAAATCTACAGTCGAATAAATGCCTGGAAAAGGTAGGAATAGAAAGGCTCCAGTTTAACTTTAATTTTATGCTCATGCCAGAAACTGCGAAATACTTCCCTGTCTACGTAACTCTGGCTGCGCAACGGGATCCAAGTTTTTATCAATTTGGCTGCATATGGTTATGATTCCTCAGCAAATGACCAAATAGTTGATAAGTGTGGCGATTACTTCGTTTACTGAGCAATCAAAAGAATCGGGCTTTCCAGGCTCCAAGGTTACGTTACGTAGCCAGGGGGCTATACAGAAGTTTCTGGCGGGGAGTTTCTGCAGAGGGCAACCTAAACTTCATGCTAGCCTGTCAGCAAATATAAGAAGATAATCGATATTGTATTAGAACAGCTTTTTTTGAGCAATTAACTGATTTCGTGGGGCTATGGATGTAGTGGGTTTTCTGGCGTACTTCTTCCAGAGTTGATTGAATAGCGCAACGCAGTTTCAACCAGAGGCGGATCCAGAAACTTCAATTTTTTTTTAGGTCGACCAAATCACTTTTCAGTGCTCACCAAAAAAACTATGCAATTTTTCAAAAAAAAGTTTGAGCTACAGGCGAGTTTAAAAAAAAACAGACCAAAAATGAATTTTTTTTAGACAAATCGTCAATTTTGAATTTTTGGAAGGTTTTGACCAAAAAATCATTTGTTTGGCGCGCTCTCCCACGTCAAAATTTTTGTATTTTGCTATGAATCCGCTAGAAATGAAAAGTCCGTAATGTTGTACAATTTTTTTTTACAAGATATCAATTAAAAATTGCAGTTAATTGTGCAGTCCCTACCCCTTCCCAAAACACTTTTTATTAGAAGTCGTCGGCAAAAAGGTATCGTAAAAACCACAAAAAGGAACCAAAGAGCACTGAAATGCACGTATTAGAGCGCTTCAACTCAAAAACTCCCAGTTTATCTCCTTAATGACCTTTTTCTCTTTTTTATTTTGTTTCACAATATATTTTTAGCTGTGGATTCTACAGTCGTCGATCCAGGGGCTAAAGAGTGTCTGACCACGAGACTGTTAAAGAGGGTGAGAGGAGTAGGAGGACGAGGGGGAGGGGGAGGGGGCTGCAAGAACAAAGCGTGCTCTCTCCAAGCCACCCCCACCAGACAGTGTTGCACCGGCACCGTATGCAGATGCGAGTGCGCTCGGTTGGTTGTTACGCAATTTTATCTACTTTTTTTAAAAAATTTTTTTTGCAGTTTTTCCATTATTTATTTTTTATTTGTCGATTGTTTTTGTAATTAGGAGCAAATTTTGTTGTGAATAAATAGGAATTTGGGGCTTTTGCCGCTTTTCCAAAATGGATTTTTTTGTTATGAATTGTGAAAATATTAATAGAGTATGTTCCCTTCTTGAAAACGAATTTAATATTAAATTAATTTGAAGGAACTCTGATGAGTTTAAGAAACTTGACTGTTCCTGAAAACGCATTTTGATAACACATTTTCGACAATAGGTTATCAAATACATTTGCATTTTTTGCGTGTCAATTTTTTCAGCCTTTATACTATACGAAGAATACAATATCAGCAGTCACATTTAAATTAACTTCAATGTGATGACGTTTGAATAACATCGCTCTTGATTGCTTCAGCCTGGTCCCGATAACAGCCCTGAATTGTTGCTGTGGAACTCTTGCCGCAGTCGCCTACTGCATTGTCAATCGTTAGTCTTACTCGCCCTACAACTTCAAAAACGCTGTTAAAACACCAAGTCATAAAACATGAAAGAAAAATAGTAAATAGTGAAAACATGTAAAAAGCCAAACTAAATTGTTACCGTACAACTTCATACAATTTTTACTTATAAGTTTCTGGCTTGAAAGTAAATTATTATCAAAGCATCATCATTTTCAGCTCTTTTCATCTGCCAGAGATTTTTCTCAATTTTTTTGTTCACATTGTGCGATTGTACAAAAATTGGCTTGCAGACTCATTAGGCCACGACAAACGTATTTGTTCTCCATACTTAACCCCGTAAAACCCATCGTCGCACCATAAAATGAACCTGATTTGAAATTTGTCGTAGGAAGGGAGAAATAGCCTCGTTTTCGACGACCATTTTGATTTCAGATGACAACACAGAGCGTGAGGCTAGAAGGTACCGGGAGATTAAGGAGTACTACTTGAATGAGCAGAGTCAATCCCTAATCTACAGGTACAACACTCTCGCAGATCCCTCCAGACCCCCAATGGTCGATTACGCCGTCGACCCCTGATGACCCAAGAAGAAAAATTTAATCGGAGAACTCGGAGAAATGAAAACAGAACTGAGGAGAAAAACTGATTTTGCTCGGATTATGAGAGAAATTTATGATACTTTGATTAGATTTAAGAGAAACATGAACAGATAAGAAACATTTGCTATCAGTGCTAATTGAATATTTTAGCCGCCCTATAAGTCCTTATATATTACGTTTTATCAAAAAAATATTTCTCAGATAGCATGAAAAAGCTAATTCAAATCACTTTTTTAATAAGCAGAGGCTAAAGAATGCTTATAATTAAGTATATTTTTCAAAGTTTTACATGTCCAGTAGCGCTTTTTTCAATCAAAGTTTAAATTTTCTGGTACAAAATAGTGTGGCCGAAACTTTCATGTGCAAGCAGTCCAGTGTCGTATAGCGTATCAGAAGTATGTGAATCAATTTCATTGGAGAATTTTTCACATTCCAGTAGATACTCAAGATACCCTTCATCAAGTGTTGCCATTTCAAACAGGTGAGACGGTAGCCTTGGAGCTTGGTCGGGAAGATTTTTAGTGTGCCAAATACATTGTTTATTAGGGGGTTCATTGATGGTTGTTAACACAGTCTTTACTAAAAAATGATTTGCGAATATGAAGTCAATGGTGCTTGAAAGTTTCATGTTTTATCGTTTATGTCTTCATTTATGTCTTCATGTTTTATCGTTTCGGCATTTCATGCCTATTGTTTCAAGGATGATGTGCCGCGGGAGGGATTTTTATCTAGAAAATAATCGAAAGTAGAATTGGCTCCAAAAGCCAAAAATTTCGACCTGAAATTGATTTTTTGCGGGAACTTTATCAACGCCCCGTTCCCCCAGGGATTCGACCCCCTGCCGACCCAAAGGGTCCCCCCTTTGGTACTTTTTAAGAAATTCATTTTTGGCCGACCGACCCTAAATGTTTTTTAAAGGCGCCTTGGACGCCATTACATACTAGCTTTGAGGGGGAGCGCTGGCCAAAAAAAACGCAAATTTACTGTAAAAATTTTGCAAAAATTGCCCAAAACCTGCGCTGAAAATTTGGCCAAAACACCATCCTAGTGCTCTAGGAGAGTTCGGAAAATCAATTTGGTCGACCTTAAAAAATGTCATTAAAATTTTTGAAAGATTTTTGAAAATCCGCCCGCCCCATCGAGAAAATCTTAGATCCGCCCCTGAACCATAGGGTTTATGAAGGCCCGTACCCAGTAAATTTTCTAAAACAGATCTGAAATTCTTTATTTCTTGTGTAAGTTAATTTTCAGATCTGAAATTTTTTATTTCAGATCCTAGATAAGAATTAACAAATTTCAGATCTGTTAATGATGAAACAGCCAACAAAAACAAAATTTCAGATCTGAAATAGCCAAGAAAAACAAAATTAGAGATCTGAAATTAGATCTGAAATAGATTTTTTCAGATCTTAAATAACCAAGATAAACAAAATTTCAGATCTGAGATTAGATCTGAAATAGCCCATCCTTAAAGTATCCAAGCGTTGTTTAAACATTTCACAACCTATTTCAGATCTGAAATTTAGATCTGAAATAGATGATTTCAGATCTGTTTTAGAAAATTTACTGGGTACGGGGGAGTTTTGAGCTGCTATCCAGAAGAGTTTGACTAAAATTTAAAATGTGATTTGCGAGGCGCCAGAAGCATCCATTGTTTAAATTTGAGGTCAAGCTATAAAACACAAATTGGCTCCCTTACCTTTTCATTTTACTTTTTTCCTCACAGCCTTCGACACAAATGTCAAGCTTCAAACATGTTTTCCCGTAACCAGTAATTTTTCTAAAACAGATCTGAAATAATGTTTTTCAGATCTAAATTTCAGATCTGAAATAGGTTGTGAAATGTTTAAATAACGCGTGGATACTTTAGGGATTGATTTTTCAGAACTAATTTCAGGTCTGAAGTTTTCTTTTTTTAAGTTATTTCAGATCTGAAAAAAAACTATTTCAGATGTAATTTCTAGATTATTCTGAAATTTAGTTTTTCTAGGTTATTTCAGATCTGAAAAATTAATGATTTGGACTCAATTTTCGCTATTTTTGATTTATTTTTAGCTTCTGCTAGCAACTAGCAGGTACTCAGCAAAGTCTAAGATTGGAGACTGACTAAGTTTGTTTCCCCAAGCATGAGATAAACATTGGAAACGCATTAGAAGCGCATGAAAATCAAAACTATTACATGTCTTCTAACAGGTTTGTGAAATTATTCTGACCACTAGTTAACCTAAACATAATTATGTATTGCAGAAACATCAAAAAATAAAAACTCCATATTTTGCTCGAAATGAATAAATTAAAAATTAACAAAGGATTTCTCAGATCTGATTTCAGATCTGAAATTTTGTTTTTCAAGGTTATTTTAGATCTAAAATTTTTCATTTCAGATCCAAATTTTAGATCTGAAATTCCTAAATTCTTACCAAGATCTGAAATTAAGAATTTCGGATCTGAGAATCAACTTACGTAAGAAATAAACAATTCGAGATCTTGCACAGAAAATCCCCTGGGTACGGGTTGTACAAGGCTGGTTGCGACATACCAATGATTTCTCAATATCATCAGCAAGCTGGTTATCATCAGGTTGCTTTCTTAACACTGAGAAAAAATCAGATTCAAGGCGCTGTTGATAATTGAGAAAAGCTTAACATAGATTTAGTTTAAATCAATAAAAAAAATAGTACTGGAACCTCTAAAATGTGTTTAAAATAAGCAAAAATTTGAGTTTTTGTGCTTCTTCCTCATGTAAAGACCATTTTTAACAGCAACTGTCTAGAAAATCCAGCTACAAACATTGGTAGTTGCCCGGGTTGAAATCCCACCGTTAATTATCGCTTTTTCTGTAGTATCCCAGTGATCGCTATTTTCCAGCGCTGATTCATGTATAATTCAGAGTTTGTTGCATAAACAAACCTGCGATTTTTCAGTGCTATTACAGTAATGCTTCCGTAGAAAATCATCGCTAAAACGTAAGAAATTTTAACTCATTCTAGTAGCTTTCAAATGAGAGTTATGGCTGATAAGCTCTTCAACTTTAGTTTGTTACAGGATTGATAGCGCAGAGGTAGAATACTGGTCGAAAAATCTCAAGGTTACGGGATTGAACCTCTGTACGAGCAATATTTTTTTCGTTTTGATAGGTTTTTAATCGTTGTTTCATCGCTGAAAATAGGCCAAATTAGAGATATTTATCGATAAAATTTGCTGTTGTGGCAATGAACATCGATAATTCATCGATGGCGATCGTTTTTTTTTTTCACTTTTCTATCGCTAATTTTCAATGTGAGCTCAACCCGCATGGTTATTGTGCAAATAACACGCAAATTCTGACTACAATTTGTGTGTTACTTTTGTGCAAGTAACACACAAATGGTATCGTTTTGTATTCGCGATTAGATAAGGTATAAACGATACTACAAATAGAAACTTTTTTTGAAACAAGGAGAAAAAAATGTCTACCATTTTTTGCAGATAATTTCGTTGATTGTGTTAAAATTTTCATTCTGAAGATTGCTCTATAAATTCGATAAATAATTTTACTAGAGAAAATCAAATTTTCTTGTTTAACTTGAATTATAAAAAAAAATAGATTTTTATTCGCTTATTTTAACCCTATTTGCTTGCTTTTTTTCCTTAAATGATTTTTAAAAAAATTTGAGATTGTTTTGTGAAAATCATCCCCCACACGCCATATAAAGTTCAAAGTCATAAAATAGATTGTGCTACAAGTAAAAGTTCCACAATGGCAAGTAGATTCCTTCAACCAATTTGGGATGTCTTCTAAGACGGATTAAATCTCCACTTACGCGTTAACAGCGCGAAATGATTGTTCCACATGGGCCAAAATGCCAATCTTACGTTACAAAAGTCGGTACAAAATTTTTAAATGCTCTATAATATTGTTGGAATTGCGACTAAAGAGCCTCAAATAGTGTGTTAATCATTCTGTTGATTATCAGTGGTACTTTAGTTAGCGTTGAAAAAGACTAAAACACACCCGAAGACAAAAATCTTCTCAGGTAGATTTATGAAAAACAGTCAACAAATACATTTAAATACATTTTTTTTGCCGAGCGCGCTTCGCAACTATTAATATAGATAGAAAAATTATTGACTTTGAGTACAGAAAATTTTACGGTTGGAAATATAAGATATCGTAAAATAGTTCTTAAGTCCGCGAGGCTTAAGTACCCCATCTATGATACGCCAAGTTGACTGTGGCTTTGAAGAAAGAACAAAACGGCTGGTTTAAGGGCGAAGCCCTGGTTGTTCCGACTGCCTTTTAAAGTTTATGGAGTAGTAATAACATAAAAAACTGAAAATAATAAAATGAAATGAAATTTTTTTTTCTTAAATTCGAATTTTTATACGAGAAGCAACCCCCCTACACGCCATTTAAAGTAAAAAAGGATAAGTTTTGCCCAATTTGGAACGATTTCTAAGACGGATTAAATCTCCGCTTACGCATTATTAGCGCGAATTATATCGCTCGTTAATTGTCCCAAATTGGCCAAAATGGCAATCTTTAAACCCCCATAACTTTACAAAAAACGATTACAGGTGAAATATCTTTTCAAATTTAAGCTGAGGACAACATTACCTTGTGATTGATATTTAAAAAATCCGTCAAAAATGGCTAGGTAAAAAGTCGAATTTTTTTTTTTGAGATTTTTCGCAAAATCATGCCTGCACTCGCCATATTAAGTACACAGTGATAAAATTCGCTCCTATTAAAAAAAATTATGGTAACAAAGCTTCCTTCAACCAACTTGGAAGGATTTGGAACCATTTCGACGGATTAAATCTCAGCATACGCGTTAAAAGCGCGAAAATATATAGCGCGTGAATTCTCCCAAGTGGGCCAAAATGGCAACCTTTGAACCCCCATAACTTTACGAAAAAAAATCAAAGGTGAAAAATTAAAGCTCAATAAAACAATACCTTTTGAATGATATAAAAAAAAACTCTGTCAAAAATAAATAGTCAAAAATAAATAATTAACGAGCACATATATTCCATTATTTTCGTTACGAAAAATTGAAGTCGAACTTGAACTTCAAATGATTTCTATTGTCTGCAAATAATTCTGAAAAATTCAAAAACGTACACTTCAAAATCAAAAATGGCATCAAAAGCTCAAGAATACTCAAGCATAGTAGCGAATTTGAGGTGGGAGGGCGGACGCGTCATTTCAGGAATTCATTCTCTTACTATTTAAAGGGTTACCCCTTCAGTACTACTTGAAATACTCCATTTTGGCTGCCGATATATACTAATTTTGAAGT